CTCTAGCTCTGGCAACAGCTCTTCTGCCGGCTCTACCTCCGGCTCTGCTGGCTCTAGCTCTGGCAATGGCTCTTCTACCGGCTCTAGCTCCGACTTTAGCTCTGGCAACAGCTCTGCTGGCTCGAGTTCCGGCTCTGTCTCCAGCTCCGGCACCAGCGCCATCTCTGGTAGCTCTGCTGGCACCAGCTCTGGCAACACCTCTTCTGCTGGCTTTGGCTCTGGCTCTGGCTCTGGCTCTGGCTCTGGCTCTGGCTCTTCCACCGGCTCTAGCTCTGGCAATGGCTCTTCTTCCGGTGCTAGTGCTACATTTGGATCTGCCTCTGGATCTGCCTCTGGATCTGCCTCTGGATCCGCCTCTGGGTCTGCCTCTGGCAATGGCTCTTCCACCGGCTCTGGCTCCGGCTCTATTTCTGCCGCTGGCTCCGGCAATGGCTCTTCTTCCGGTGCCAGTGCTACTTCTGTATCTGCCTCTGGCAATGGCTCTGCCACCGGCTCTGGCAATGGTTCGTCTTCCGGTGCTAGTGCTGCCTCCGATTCTGCCTCCGGTTCTGCCTCTGGTTCTGCCTCTGGTTCTGCCTCTGGTTCTGCCTCTGGTTCTGCCTCTGGTTCTGCCTCTGGTTCTGCCTCCGGTTCTGCCTCTGGTTCTGCCTCTGGTTCTGCCTCTGGTTCTGCCTTTGGTTCTGCCTCTGGTTCTGCCTCTGAGTCGAGCTCTGATATTGCTCCTGTCACTGTTAGTGGTGTCTCGCCAGTGTCTGAGTCTGGAGACCAGACTGGAAGTGAACCTGAACAGGATGGAGCCACCTCCAAGGCACCTAGCGCAACCAACTCTCAGACCATTGGTGCTGCTTGGGGCAAGAACATTTCTGCTCCTGCCTCGTCTAGCACTGGGTTCCAGAGGATCCACAGCAGCACTCCAACTGCAGCATCTTCCACTGCTGCAGTGACCGCAGTCTCAACCGCGTCTAGTGCAGCTGGTGCTTTGTTCACCGGTGCGGCTTCCGCCGTGCACATTACAAATGGGCAAATGATTGGATCCCTTGCTGGTGGCTTGGTGTCTATGCTCCTCATGTTTGTCTAAGGGGCTCGACACTATATAGTCTAGACACCATTATCAGTAAATGGCTCTCCGAGACCAGACACTCTTGCCCGTCACGGCCTGCTTGTTCATACCTACTATAATAGTCTTTGTACAAAGATGAATGTATATTCATGTTATAACATAATATCTACTAATGAAGCGACATGATCTGGGTTTATTCGTTGTAAGTGGCACTGGGAGTATGCCAAGGTAGATGACATTAGAGATGCCAATTCAGCGCTGCGAGGCAGCGGTCAGTGAGAAGACCACCAACAATGATGATGATGGTAACCCTTGTTTCATTGGGATACTCGACGCTTCTTCGCCTTTCTCACGATCTTCTCTTTGCCAATCAATCAGAGTGCCTAGCTTCATTCATGATTCATTGTTGTCGTGGGTGTATCAAGCTGCTGCTACTGCTGTGGACGTCACGGGCAAGATGGATCAACCGAGTTTATTGTCATTGTTCCCCGGACCACATCAAACTATACACCACGTCTCACGGGGTGGGAAAGAATCCAACTGCGCAAAACAGAAAGGCAACATGAGCCTAAGGCTATTTATTCTTACTTCGAAGGCCATATAGCACATTCTTGTGGTTCCTAGATGAGTACTCTGCGAGACCTTCCAGTGAGCCGTATTGCATGCGGATAGATCTCCGCCAGTCTTGGAAGCATTTCGAAACGAGATCGTGGCAGAGGACACCTCTTAAACCTCAGGACATCCCATATTCAAACGCATTTGAAACCGCCAGACAGTCTAGAGCCATACTCGACCAAGCAAATCGACTGAACGGTAAACGTCTAACGCGCCGAAAGACCAATAACCATGTACGGTACAGTACCATCGCCATAATCCACACTACCCCACGAGTTCTCCCCAAAAAGTACTGTACCACAACCACCAGCCATAAATCCCAGGCAATGTCCACCCCGTCTTCATCCTACATGTCGGAAGAAGAAACAAACAAGCAGAAATGAGAGAGGGGAGAAGGCAAGGGTGTAAACAACACAGTACTCCGTAGCTACAGTACCCATCCTTCCTCGAAAACAACTCCCCCACCCCCCATCAATCGCATTTCCTAAGATCGCCAAGTCGCTCTTTTGACACACACCGTACCGCATCGTACTCCAGGGTTGTTGCTCGTAGGGCTAAGAATGAGACACCCACCCAGTGAGAGAGCACAGGGGGAGGGGAAAGAGGTGTGTGAGAGCGAGAGAGAGACAGCGATCCACCATCCTGGGACGTTGTCACACCCAAGGGAAAATCAATGTGTCTGTCGTATGCTGTGTTACATGCTTATTTTTTTTTTGCGTTATGGTGTTACAGGACATGCTGTAGTATGGTATGTATGTACATGACCCTGGAAAGTGGCACTGACCCTGAAAAAAAGTGCCATGCAGGGAAAGGATCGGGAACTCCCAAATCTAGGGTGGTACAGATGCATGACCTGGACGCCATTCCCCCAGCTAGACGCAGAGGTGGTTTCACAAGCCCCTGCTGGGAAGTGGGAGGGAGACGAAGAAGCTCCGTGCTTTTTATTGCATACACATATGTACTTGTGCTTGTGCTTGTGCTTGTGCTTGTACACTATGCACATGTACAACGGTCCAAAAAACTGAGGCTGCGAAACATGTTGGCATCTGGAACAACATACGGCTGACTATTTAAGCGTTTGCTGTCACGGCAGTGATTCAATGCATTAGCCGAGGAGGAAGCAACGATTGGTGCAAATCAGGGAATAGGGAGTCAAAGGACCGAAGTTTAAAAGATAGTAGAGCCGTTGGGGGTTTGGGCAGGTAGACTAGCAATGGATCAGGGATCACCACTTATTCTGACTTGCATAAGCTTTTTCTTGGGTCTCTCCTGTCAGTGTGTCAGTGGGACTGGGAATGGAAGTCCATTTCCAGAGAGACAGGGAGGGAAAGATGCTATGCAAGTGGGGGACAGGGAGCTCGTCTCATGCAGACGCTCGGCTCCTTCTCCCCACCCCCTCACGTTCTCCCAGTCACATCAAACTTCCACCGAAAGGAGGGGAGGGAAATTGCTGGAAGGCGAGCCCCCGTGACAAATAAGGTCCTTTCGCTCATTTAAGCATTTAGGCAACTGGATATGCATATGCTCTGACAGGACGTCAGGCTGTAAGGATCGGCCCAAAGAGGGAAAAGGGTCTAACTTTGGAGCGGGTCTCATACAAGGAGAGGGTTTCGAAAAGGCAGCAGCAGAGGGAAAATCAAGGATGGCGTGCATGAAAGACCACATGTACAAATCCTCCGCGCATAGTCTCATGCAATTCGACTACGGACTCCCTCCGGCAATCCCCTTGGAAATACCTATGATGTAGTCCGCAAATGAGGTAGACTTAACGCTGAATGCAGTTACTTAATATTACCCTCGGATTCAGTACTTGGGACGAGGTATTAAGGTGGTGGTGGTGGCGGGCGGCGGCGGCGGCGGCGGCGGTTGTTTCCCGCCCGTTGCCCTAAGTAGAGGAGTAACCATGATAGGTCAAAGCGATCGTGGGAGGAGAGAGAGCGAGAGAGAGTTCTCACCCACTTCCACCTTAGCAGTTGCTGATGGCAAAGTGAATTAAGTATCTAATTCCCATTAGGGGATAAATATGTGGAAGTGCTAGCCAGGGATGAAGCCTAGCGGACTTGCTCGGTGATCATGGGCTGTCAAACCCCGCCGCGAAGACAGCAAGCGCAGAACCGACAGCTCCTACGACTCGAGTATTCGTGCATGTCGTATCCTGTCGATCCCTTCCTACGTATATACAAATCACTCGAGGGAAGGGAGATCTGCTGCGGCAAAGTGGAGTGCAGGTGGGTTCGATTTCCAGGTTTTCCCTGATCGCAACGCGGGGGGGGGTGCCAGTTTCCAATGCCCTGACGGATACCTCTGGTCCAACTACAACTGATCCTTTATCGGCCGGATGTACGAACAAGACCGACAGACAGCAGCCAGACATGCGTCTTCTTCTCAGATCATGGGATGATCCCACAGACACCGACACATGACAAGGCTACAACAATAATGCGATACCACTTCGTGGTTTTTCTTCATGGTAGCGTGCAAGTCGCGCCGTTGAGCTGGCGTGCAGGCATGTCAAGGCGGACCAGAAGATAGTCAAGCATCGTGGTCTGTAAAATAAACTAAACTATACATGAACTGGTTTGCTGCAACAGAAACCCCGTGCCGCCGCTTTCACAAGGACGGTTCAGTAAAATGGGCACGCACTTGAAACTCCGGTTGCTCCCCCGGAGTGAGCCACGTGATTGGAGCAAGCTCTCTAGACCGTGCACACACTACGATGAAGAGCCTTGAGAGTCCTTATACTTATAAAGAAAGTGATATTATTTTCATCCGCGATCATAGAACGGAATTTACCTTATTCCTGGGCAAGTAGGGTCTGGCAGGATTCAAGCTGCTCTTCCACTGCACCCCAATGATAATCTGAATAATGGTGAGAATGTCATGATGGAAGGAAACTCAAGGCTGGTGTAACGGTACATACATGTCCCCTACATAGATATATCAATAGCATGTTGAGGAGTTTTATATTGAGGTTCTGGGAGTCACGGGCACGCCTCTGTAATAGATTAGAAGAACACGATCTAACAACAAGCTTCAATTGTACAGTGGGCAACAGCAGACCAGAGCGCTTACTTCAACCCCGTCTAGCCCAGACCCTATTCCTTCTTTCATACATTAGCAGCAATAGTACTCCGTACTTGTAGAATCATTATGCGACTACAAACCCATTTGTTCCAGAACTAGCGCACTACTTTCTATTGTTCAAGACACGCACTTTTGCGCTTCTGCCACACTCTTAGCTGCTCCGTGAGCAAAAAGCGGCGCGAAGTTGAGTCGAAAATGGCAAAAAGAAAGTGGCAGCCCCGTCGATTCCTGTAGGAATCCAATTCAGTAGTAAATAATCTATATTAACTTAAGATACATGATCTAAGTACGGAATACATTCCTGTCACCATCCAGCATCTCCGATCAATAACACATACCTACATACATACATACATACCTACACTTCGCTGTCTCTACCCATCTCCCTGTACGCGGAGGTCCGATCACCCTCCTCCTCTCTCTCCTCATCTTCCCCCCCCTCGCATCAAAGGTGACATCTACCCAGCCCGGGATCCTCCATGCACATCGGTCAGATTCACCGCCATGTGATAGATCGGATCAAATCCCGGTTTTTGCGAAGCATCTTCCCAAATGCCAGTCAAATCTGCTGCCCTCACCTTCTGTTAGTTACTCAGTATTTCACTCCTCACCCTCCCTTCCCCAACCCCGTGCTTCATGCAGCAAGTCTCTCCCTCCTCTCTCTCTCTCTCTCTCTCTTCCCACCGGCGTCAAGTTCCGTCATATCAAAATGCTTTGAACTGGTACTGGTCTCCAATACATGCCAACTCGGCCGGTCCTTCCGCCCAGTCCGGGGAGAAAAAAACGTTGGTTGAGTGGCCCATCTATGCATTAGATAGGTATATGGATTCTTCCTGCATATTTCCCCCCATCTCCTTCGACGACGTAGAAATTGGCATCTTAGCGACCGTTGCGATCGAAAACCCCCCCCAAAAGAATCTCGGATGTCCTTTCTCTGGAAAAGCACGGGGGGCCAAGCTAGCAGCGACTACATTTTGACAGAAGAGGAGAGAATCTGAAGGCAGAGACAAAGATGGACCCAATCCTAGTGTCAAAAAAAAAAAAAAAAAAAAAAAAAAAAAAAAAGATACACACTTTTCCTGTCTATTGGATCCCCCAGACCCAGCTGCAGGGAGAGTAAGTCAGTCATTTAGCTAGAAGTAGACAATCGTCAAACGACCTCAAGAGTTGCAACATGAAGCCAAATCAACGGGAGACAAAAAAGCAAAACAGAACAGAACAGAACAGAACAATCCCTTAAGCAGGTGACTGCCTGCCTGCCTGCCATCCCCCCCAGAAAAAAAGCAAAGAAAAAAAAAAGCCACCCAAATACACATACACACACACAAACGCGCGCAGAATGCACGCATGCACGTACGCACATACTGCACCCTTTATTTTCTCGCCCTACCGGAAAAACCAACTCGCAAGAGTCCGTCCCTTGCGAAATGAAACAATATGATGGAGAGAGAGAGAGAGAGAGGGAAAAGAGCAAGTTGCGCTCGGTCCTTTTCACTTCCCCCCGCCTCTCTGTACAGTACCTAACCACCATACTTATGTAGGAACCCTAAAAGAGTAACCCCAGCGGACACGGTGTATGTACAGTACACCGTATAACGGTTTGAAGGGCCAATAAGGGTTTTTGGAGAGGGGGGGGGGGGGGAAAAATCTTCTTGGGGGATATGCTTTGCTTCCAAGATCATGGACTGTACAGTACAGCATATTGAGTTGGGTGGTGTGTTGTTGTTCATGGGTTCGAGTCCCACGAGGGGCCCGGCGGCGGCGGCGGCGGCGGCGGGGGGAGCCAAGGCCAAGGCCACACCTCTTCTATAACTTACAACCCCAACTTAGTACTCCTCACATAGCACCACCTACTTATAGTATCAAGAGGATAAAATATGTACTGTACCGTATGCTCTAGGACCACCATCCATTGCTACTAGTATATGGGTGTCCTATACTATACCTAGACAAAAACCAACGAGATGAACCACAAAAATACCCAGACTAGTAGGGTAGGTAAATCCATGATAGGTAGGTACTGTACTGTACCTACTCAATATTGCATGAGTCAGGACAAAGGACAACCCCCCGAATTGCAGTTCACGAGTCGTTCCCATCCTGCCAATCCAATCCAATCGGTCATTAGGTCGGTCGGTCGATCTATCCGTCCCGACTGGCTGGGACCGAATTTGAGGCTTGATTGGATCCCTGGGCGATTTGGATTTCATCGAGTATTTCCTAATCCGACCAAAAGATGAAAGTTTTTTTTCGATCTTTTTTTTTTAGGGGGGGGGGTTCCAAAGAAAAAAGTAAGGTCAGTCGAATCCCAAAGGGTAAAGAAGAAGAAATGCGAAAGGGGGGGGAAAAAGGTTACCATGACGTGTAACAACATTGGAAAGAGGGTCCTGATCACATACTCAATCTGTTCCCTTTCCCTCTGTCTTCATATTATTCATTTCGATTTCTCGTACACCGCGAGAGCCTTGAGCTGGCAAAAAAAGAAAAGAAAAGAATGGATGGAATTGTGGAGTTCTCTAGGTATGTAATGTACACAGGAGGACATGGGCCTGTTCGCTCTCCTCTTCCCCTTGTTAAAATATGTTTCTGGCCTTCGAGGCTTTGACATAGTTATCTGTGCGTGAGAAAGAAAAGAAGAGAAGAAAAAAAAAAAAAATTCAATGCATTCTTTTTCACAACATCACCAAAAAAATATGGAAAACACACTCGGAGATTCTTCAAGCAGTCTGAGGGGAACCAGGAGGCCGGCCGCCCATTACCAACCGCGTCTCTTTTCCAAAGCAGCCAACCCTAAAAAATCTAAATGAATCCAACGCACTCAATGCATGTCGGAGCAGTTTCCCGTAATCGAAACTTGTTGGGCCGATGATTGCCAGATATGCAACAGACTCCGGATGCGAGATTTGAGATACTGAACCATGGTCCGGCGGAGACCCAAATGGCCACTGAGGAGAAGAGACCCGAAAATGTAGTACCTACTTTGCTTCGATGGGGGGAAAAAGAAGCAACTCAATTCTGGCTGACTAAACCTGGCCGTGGACGAAAATATAATTGATCAAGCAAAAGGCTTAGTATCAGCAAGGCGATAATGGTTTGCTCTCTTGCGCTGTCTATACTGCGGCATGTCGTAACAATAATTTCAATCATTAATGCTTCTCGGTTTTTTGAAATCTAGAGCGGGAATCATGCAAAGAAATTCGTAACATAGGAAAAGTGACCATAGAAAGAAATGACAACAATAAGCAGAAGAAGAACAGTCAGGGGGAAAAAGCCCAGTCTAGCTTGACATGATCACGTCACCCATGTACTGTACAAGATCATTGGAGCGCTCCTTGAAAGTAAAAAGCCCATCCAAACCCAAACCCCTCAGGTGCATCGATGGAAAAAGGGTCGTCTAATATATGTTTGAGGAAAAAGAAAACTCAAAATGCCGACCTGAACGTGATAAGCGCAAGCCAAACGCCTCAGATGCGAGAAAAAACATGTAATGAATCAATGATTAAGGAAGCCAGGCAACGCCAATGCTGTGTAAACGGCGACCCGGACGTGCTTCCACGCGCGTTAAAAAAGACCCCCCCCCGTGGATCGAAACCATGCAAAGTGATTTTGAAGTCGATTAGAAAACGATAAAGGGTATCAAGAGCGGTCTTGTCAACCTCATTCGGCTCGGCTCGTAGATTCTGTGACAATCCAGAAAGTATAAAAAGGGAATAAAACAACTGTCGGCAAAAGCTCATGTCTATTCGATTGTCAATGTCGCAGGGGCTCCGTAAACTCATGACGTAGTAGTGGATGTATTTCGTGGCAAATGTGACCAGTAGGCGGGATTCCTCGTCGGAATCAATTGGGTCGCAACGTTTCAGGGCTTCGTGCCCATGTGGGGAGACGGCATTGACTCAGGCGACGTATGCTCCACGTCGCTGAAAGGTGACTGCCGCTGAGAATCGAGGTCATTGCCACCGTTCCGCATTTGGTTGCGAAGGGCAGGGAGCTGTCGCCGCCTTGCGTTGATGAACCAATTGCTAATCTAAGGAAAGAATGAGCAAATAGTGTGACGGAAAGACATGGGGTGGTATCGACCTACCTGACTAATCGTAAGACCCGTACGAGTCATGAACATCTGCTTATCCTCCTCGCTGGGGTATGGGTGGTCAAGGTGCTCATGGAACCAGGCGCGCAGAATATCCGTGACCGGCTTCGGCAAGTTGCCCCGTCTGCGCTTATTCTTGGAGTCGATCGGATCGCCAAGGATGCCAAAATTGGATTGCTGGGCGTGTGATAGCGATTGCGGGGTGACTTGCTCCGAATCGCTCTGGTACGCCATCGTGGGGTACGGGTAGGCGACCTGGTTGGGCAACGAATGCGGCCCAGCGCCGCCCATAAACGAATCCGCACTCCTCCTATCATTCAAGGGGCCGGAAATGTTGGCCGCAGGAAAACCGTGACCGCTCATAGGCCCAGCGCGAAAATCCTGTGCCGCATACTCGGGTCGCGACAAGCCCCTTGATTCCGAGAATGCAGCCGATGAAGGGGACATCCCCCGTTCGGGGAGGGACTGAAGATCGCGGATCGACGGCAGAATGGGACTGGGACCACGCGAAGTAAATCGAGTCGAGGCGGAAGCGGACTGAGGGGGATTTCCGGCTAGGCGGCTATGAAGGGGGCTGCTGCTGTCTCGTGGAAAGGGTTCACCAGGCCGGAAGTCGTCCGCCAATGGTAGCTTCGAGGGGGTGGCATAGGGCAGGCGATCGGACAGAGATCGGGAAGTTGGTGTCAGGTCGAAACTAGCTGAAAGGGGTCTTTCGCGCGTCTGTGGATGCTGGCGGGAGGCGAAATATGAAGTCGATTCAATTTCATCGTGGAGATGAGGAGGAAGAAGCTACAGCGGGCGTAACAAGACTAGTTTAGTATTTTTTCATACTCTCAGAGGCCTCAGCGACGGGAGCGATTGACTCTCAAACTCACCTCTCGGAAGGAAGGGAGGGCTGGAGTATGATCGGCTGTCATTCCACTTGCGTATGAGATAGCCATTTTTCCAGAAGAACCCTCGCCCAGATCACGGTACTGGGACATAGACTGTAAAGTACTAAAGAGTGGTGGTGGCGACGTTGAAACACGATGTGACTATCCGCTAGCGCAAAGACAGACAGACAGACAGGGTAGATACAGCCGACCTGCGGCTCTTCAGACAATCCTGGGGGGGGGATCGATTTGAAATGACGAGGAATCCGATCCGGCGCGCGCGCGTCAGGTCTCTCTTATGTTGATCGAGAGAAGATACCGAGCGGAGGGAGGCTAATCTAGCCAGGGTGGATTGTTGTGAGTAGTGGTGGGGTTGGTGGAATGAAAAAGGATAGGAGAGTGGAGGAGAGGAAGGAGGGGTGTGAAAGAGAGGAGGGGGGAGGGGGATGGAAGTGGATTAAGAAGGATAAGATAAAGAATTGAGGGGGGGAAAGGGAGAGAGGTAGGATCGTGAGGATTAATAGATTTTTTGGATATTTGGTATGAATGCGACTCTGCTGCTGGAGGTGGAAAATAGTGGATTTGAAGAGAGATATGGGCGAGATAGAACAGTAATATAGTTACCAGGGCCTGAGTCTAAAAGTACCTTGACATTGCCGCACACGATGACGATGGAGACAGCTGAACCAAGGTTATGCAAGGTAGGGAGTGAGGCAGCTCAACAATTGGATCTGGGCTGGGTGGACACCAGATCTCTTTTCTCAAGGTTGTCGGGGTTCAGACAATTAATTTTGGATTTGTTTTTATTTTAATTGTGTTTTTTTTTTTTTCCTTAATCTAATTTCTGAAATTCTTTTCTTTTTTTTTTTTTATCTTTTTCTTTTTCTCTTCTCCCCTTCGATATCCACCTCCTTCCTTCCTTTCCCTTTTTCTTTTATACACTTTACCCTTTTCTCCCTTCTCAGTCATTTCCTTCAATGCCCTTTTCGAATTCTTTTTTTTTTTCCCTTTTATACTTCTAACTTCTAATTTTGTCTGATTTCGAACTCGATCCTCTCCTCCATGTACTAACTACCTTACTAGCCCTTTTTTCTTTACCTTTACCTTTCCATTCTATACCCCCGATTTGAATTAGAAACTGTATAGTATAGCACCGTTCAGATCATGCAGGCCGGTCTCCGAGATCCTGCAGAAAAAAAAGAAAGAAACTAGAGTGTACACTCCACCCTATACATCATTTCCAAGCCCACACAGATTATATTGTCACCCAACAGGGGAGGCAATGCATGTCCACCACCACCATAGTCAAGAGACGTAAGAGAGTACGAGGGGAAAAAGTAGAAACACGTACAATCAGATCAGATCAACCTTCAACAAGACACAACACGCGCATCTTCCGCGCGCAGCCCTCCCCGTCAGCTGTTCCATCCCAGGCCAAGCCCGTCAACCATGGAAAATATGGCAAGTAGTTAAGAACAGGGGGGGGAGGTTATAGGCCCAGTGAAGAACCGACGATCCTTGGAGGTGGAAGTGGGTACATTGACCACAGCCTACGATGAACGGTTCGTCTCAACTTGTTCGCTCCTCTCGGTTCTACAACGGGCATGCAACGAGAAGAGAGGATGAGCAAGAGCGCGCGCGCGTCCAGGGTGCGAATGGAAG